AATCATCAAAGAAAAAAAGAAACATTCAGTAGGCTTGCAATTTTTTTAAACATATTTTTAAATGATCTGAATAATTTTTTTGTTTTTATTTAGTTGAATGGTGAAATTGTTTATACAAAAGATTGGCTCTTCAACTTTTATGTTAAATATGTTATTTCCTTGTTAACTGTTGTCTGTCATTAATAAAGCAATTATAATAATACACATAATGACAACAGATTTATCTTTAGAAATGTTCGCAAAATTTTTGGTTTGGATACAAAAAACCAAGTGAAAATGATACTGGAAAGGTACACTTTCTTATATCTTAACATCATTGCAGCTTTCTAGTCTTCATTTTTGTTTTTGTGTATTTCATCTGTGTTGCTAATGATATCGCCAGTTTTTATGATTTTATGTTGTTAAGTAAAGCATCCTTATGTTTCAGGCTAAAAAAAAGCTTTGACTAATACTTTTTTTCTAGTTTAAATGAATAACAACTCTCAAGGTGTATTAGCTGAATTATCTTTTTGTTTTGATAGTCTTTAGTCAATAACGGATTTTTAAATTGTTATGAGTCTACAACACTTAATTTCAGCAAAATTCAATTAAAAAATCATGTTATAGAAGACAGAAAAATATCAATATCTGTTTTTAATAACTTGGTTTTCATAGCAAACCTGAGAGGTGCAAGTGTTTAGCTTGATTTAAGTACTACATAATAAAATACATTGTTGTACAGTCATTTTGATGGTTGTAAATTTATTTAGCACACTCATTTTTATATATTTTTAGACTGTTTACCGTTTAACTCCTGTCCCAATCTAACCTAGTAGGTTCAAAAAGAAGGGAACGCGCTTGAAACATGAGTGGATAAAAAGGATCAGCCCTTTTTGAATTAATAGTAGGTAAGTATAATGTGCTCCACTCAGCTAATCTAGTTTCGTTTGCTTTTTTTGTATTACATTTAAGCAATAGACTGTTTTTTATGTTCACTTGTTTTTTAGAAGTGGTAACCAGCTAGAAGTACCTGCTCGTATGAAAGGATTTCTCGACGTGAAATTGTTAATTTTATTCAACAACGCCAAGAAACAGAGCTCGCTCAAGAGACAGAAAAGAAAGAGAAAGATGAAAAAATATTCTTTTGAACAATACTATTGTTTTATTTATAAATTATTCTCCCATATTTAAATATATAAAAGATGTAGAAAATGCTTCCTCTTTTATATTGACATCTAAAAGAGGTTTTTTTCTCGGCATCAAAAGCTTTTTGTCATACTTTGTATGAAGAGCTATTATCATTTTCATTTAAAAAAATAGCTTTTCATATAAGAAAAGTAGGAATACTATAGTGTATAGGATACTATAGTATACAAATAAGTCGTTCCGACCCCGTGAAAAAGCACGTTTTTAGATTTGCATATTCGACTAAAAAAAGGCGTCTTAAAGGCGCACTTTTTATGTCTTTTCAGTACAAGATTAAGATAAAAAAAGACGTCTTTTCGATGTCGAAAAAAGATGTCTTTTAGATTTCGATACTCGACTGAAAAAAGGTATCTTAAAGACGCATTTTATATGTCTTTTCATGACAAGATTAAGATAAAAAAAGACGTCTTTTCGTTGTCGAAAAAGATGTCTTTTAGATTTTCATAATCGATTTAAAAAAGACGTCTTAAAGACATCGTAAATAAGACTTTTAAAGACGTCTTTTTGACGTCTTTTTTCCCACTGGGATTATTACAAATATTGACATATGTGAGCATTTGGGGGCGTTTAAGCTTGAAAAGGACATCACTTCTTCTACAGCATGAGGCTCTCAGTGGCTTTACTTTAACTCAGATAAAACTTTTTTTTTTAGCTAAATGTTACGCAATAATCTAGATTTTCATATATTTATGAACAGTAATGTACTTGATAGTTCATCTACCTTTTGTCTTTTAGGATTCTTACTTCCGATGTTTCTTGGAAACCGTATATCAAAACAATTGCAAAATTAGCACCTGGTAATTTTGCATCTCTTTATTGTGCTCGCCACTTTCTTATTCAAGATTCTATTATAAATCTTAAATCTGTCCTTGTATAAAATACTGATGCCATACCTGGGGCGGATCTTCTAATGATGTCCTTTCTCTCTAAGACAAGGTAAAAAAACACAATGTAAACATTGTTGGACCTACTCTTGCAGCCAATCTTCAACCATAATCACATTGTTGTAATGTGGCTTCTCTTTCTTTTTTCTATAAATACTATAATGAGCACTGCTCTAAAGAGCTAGCATCTTTTATGCCATCTACTAAAGTTCATTCTTGAGTTACACGTCATTCAATTAAGTGTCATTCTTTAACTGCGCCTGTTCCTAAGTGCTCTAAAACCTTTAACTGCGTCTGTTCCTAAGTGCTCTAAAAGTTATTATTCATCTAGTTTTTTTCCTCGAACATCAGTTCTTTAGAATTCGCTTCCTTCATCTTGTTTTCGTGATTCATATAATTTGCAACCTTTTAAGTCGTTTATTAATCTTCAA